TATCGCTTATTTAAGGTATAATATCTTAGTTTTCCTCTAAAGGTGAGTTTATATTTATTTTAAAACTAAATTGCTTTTGAGTATAAGAATTTACGAAAATATTTTTATAAATAATTTGTTCATTTATCAAAACTTTAATCTTCCTTGTATTCTTATATTGCTTTATTTAAATCCCAATCTGAAATCTCTAAATAATATTTAGCAACTTTTTCACATCGATCTTTAGAATCCAAAATGGTATTAAGCATATATTCCAACATAAATATCTTCTGAAAAGAACATTAATCTATTACTTTTTCCTGAGAATCATAAGAGGACTAATTAGGAATTATAATTGATTTAAGGTAATAAATTTCATTTGTTGTCAGATTATTAAATTTTCTAATAGCTTCTGGAGTTAAATTATATTTAATTGCCAAGCCCTGTAGAGTATCACCTTTAATTTAATGTTCAAAATAATGTTTATTTTAGAATTGTTAAATTTATTCATCAGTAATTTCAGGTGTTGGTGTCTCTTACATTATAATAAATAATTATAAAATAGTTTTAACTTAAATCGTTTTAAAGTGATTATTCATTATAATTATTTTTATAAAGTGTGTTTATATTTGCTTTGAGATTAAAAATCTGATTAAAAAGTTGATTATCTTAATTACAATGGTTTAATTTATTATTTGACAATAGTAAAAAAGAGAGATTTAAAAAATAAAAAAATCCTCAAGTTATTCAATTATTATTTTATGATATTATTTTAATAATCAATCATCGCCTGTGTTTTTAAAAGTGATAAAATTTATTAAATTGTCTTTAATAGCACCTGGAAATAAATTGCGTTTCACTTCATTATCATTAACAGCTGAAAGAAGCATTACAACAATCTTTAATTGTGAATTTTATTTATATACCTTGACAATCATATTTATCATAGCAGTTATGATGACAATTAAATGCAAAATGGAATCTATCTTAGTTTCTAAAATTTTGAATCGACTCCATGAATTGTGCCAGTATATTGCATAGACAAAATCAATTATGAAAGAGAAAAATAAGATATAAATGATCCTAGTATGAAACTATGTTAGAATTGAATAATTTGAACTTTTTAGAACTCCCACAAAAATGCTGCAAATATAAAGAGAGGTAGATTGTAATCAGCTCTTCCAAATGAGCTGATAAGCGACGTCAGTATTCCAAATATTAGCACCTTTTAAACTAATTGCCACCTAAATTTCTCATTTAATAATCTACTAGGTTGGTTCAGACATCTTTGATGTTAATTTATATTATTAAAAATAACTATTTAATTATAATTATATTCTTAATATTATTTTCAATACACACCAATGTTAATATAATTAATTATAGATCTATTATTGAGATATTTATTCATGTAATTTTTTTAATTGCTATCATTCATTTTTGTTTATTCTTATATTGAAAATAATTATTTTTAATGAAAATGCCAAAATCCTTTTCTTGAATCACTTTTTAAATAGAAAATACTTCAATACAATAAACAAACTTAAACTAAGTTTACTTATTGTAAAAAGAAAAATAATAATAATTATTAAATGATTATAAAATATAATACTCTGAAATTACTTAATATTAAATTTAATGATTGTGAAGCAAAAAAGAGAAATTTTTCATGTCTCATTAAGAAGAAATTAAAGAGAACAAATTTTTTCAAAAAAAAGGATCTTAGACGTTCCTAATTAATAATTTGAAACCTCAGAATAAGCAATTCTTTTTTTAAAAGGAGAAATGTCCAATTAAATTAATTTATAAGAGATTTTTTCAGAATTACATCAATTATTGCCAAGATATAGTGAATTACATTTGAAAACAATGCCATATATAATTTAAGGAGTTTAGAAATATTTAGAGGTTATTTAGAAATCTTTGCTTTATATGAATGAAGAAGATCGAGAAATATCAGAATCTACAATAATCTAAATACTTTAATATTTAGGATCATTGACTTATTACATAAAGGTGGAATTTGATTTGGAAAATTTATTAGATATGTTAGTAGCAATATTGAACTCAACAGATGAATTCAAAATGATTGAAAGATTATGTTTAATATTATAAAATCTTCTTTCTGACTTTGATGATACTTCATCATATTTACTTAAGTGTGATATTGTAACTAAGTTGGCAAATAAATTTTTAGATTGTGATTTAAATTAGGATTTAAATAATTTTGCTCCTATGTTTAGAGTATTATCATAATTAAACGAAGTCAGCTATTATGAATTCAATTAAATTCATCCATTATTACATAGATTATAAAATGAATCCTAAGTGGATTCCTCAATATATTGTGAAATTATAGAAGGCTTTTTTGCTTTTTTAATATAATGCACAAATTCATCAAATAAATAGGATGACACATAGAAATTATAATAATTTTAGTTATTTAATAAGTTATTTGAATTTTAGTATGTAAATTGGTCTGTAAGTTTATTATTAAAGTACAAAAATTAAAAAAATTTAGTAAAAAACATATACTCATTTCTTAATAACTTAAGTTTTGGAGATTGCGCTAAGAAATTAATTTCTTAAGGAGTATTGACAATTATAATTGAACATTTGTAAGATAAGGTTGTTTAATAAAATCAACTCTATTCTTTATTAGCAAATATCATATTTGATGACTTGGAAAGTGTTTTGAAAAGTGGTATATTCAAAAAAATATATTCACATTTTGAAAAAGGATTTCCAAATGCTGATTATATAAATGACTTAATACATAGTATTTCAAATGCTTTTTATACAGCAAATGAAAGTTAAATATTAGAATTAATAAAATTAAGATTGTCAGATTGTTTAATTCTATATATTAGTGAATACCCATTAGAACTTTTAGATTAGGAATTGTGTAATTCAATCTTTTAAGCAATTAATATTGTTTTTGTTTAATAACCACCGAAATCTATATACAGCTTAAAAAGAAAAATAAAAAATGATTCTAAATTTCTTGGAAGAAGCAATAAAATTTATGAAAAAGGTAATAAGGAAGATAAAGAATATGAAGAAATGATGGAATTATTGAATTTAAAGGATTGATTTTTTTTTATTTTATTATGGATTACTCTTTTATAATTATTATTTCTTACATTGTATTTATTTAAAGTGACAGAAATGATCTACTCAAAACTTAAAAATTATTTAATTGCAATATTCTAATTACTCTCTTTTCTTTGCAGTTCTAACTTAAATCATCGTATAGGATCCTAAAATTATTTAGAGCAATTTTATTATCATTATATTTCTCCATTATTTCTATTCAATTTGATTATTATATCATATTAAATAATAACATAAAAAGCCTTTCTTTTGTTCTTATATTCTTTCAATTCATTGATTTATTATATTAGAAGTATATTTATATCTTAAATTTTATCTCTTTACTTACTGAAATATAGTTTAATCATTAAATATTCATTAATTTATCTATTTTTTTAGATGCTCCATATTCCCTTTTATAAAATTAAATCAATATATCATATAAAAATAAATTAAGAAAATGATCATTTATTATCTTAACAAATTTCATAAACAATATTTTTACTTATTTTATAGAGGTTATTTTTATATTAATTTAAACCTACTGATCATAACTTTAAAATACTTATAAATTATTTGATGATTTATTGTAAACTGTATTCAAAAAGGTTATATGAAATTATATTTTAGTATGAATATATTAGTTTAAACCGTAAGTTAATTTTATAACCTATAAATAATCGTCATTAATTCTATCAGTTTGTTTCTGCTAAGATAAATTAATAAAACCATTAATTAGAAATGAAAAAACCTTATCGATCTTATAACTTTGAATTAAGTACTTATTAAATATGTCTTAATAATTAATTTTGTTTAATTAAAATAATGAAATTGAATACTATTAAAATAAGTTTTAGATATTTATAATTTTAATAAATTAGATAATTATATATTTAATGAAAGTAGTTCAAAATCCAACCTAATATTTTTTTGAGCAATCAAATAATCCACCATGTGAATATTTGCCAAAAATAAATGAATTTGTTAGTAAGTTATTGAATCAAAAGTAATGTATTTTATGCAAAAATGACTATAACATGAAGGATAGATTACCAAGAATATTGATTCATTGTGGTCATACAATATGCACAGCATGTTTAACAAATTTTTATAGGTAGTAAATGAAAATCTATTCTATAATAGAAATCGAAGAGTTAGATGTCCATTATGTTTAAAATTAATAAAGCATTTGGATTCAGTTGATCGATTACCTGTAAATTGATTATTAATGTTTTAGATAAATCATACGATATTTTCAAGAATGTCTGAAGATATCAACAATAAAAGTAAATAACACGGAGGAACAGAAGTTATAGATGCCTAATAATATTTATTCACACAATTTTAATAATCAGCATTATAATAATAGAAAGCAAGATAATAACAATAAAGTGCTTATCCTTAAGTAGATCCTGATTCAGGATTGGAGTATTGTGAATTTCATAATGAAAGAGTAAAACATTTTTTTTGTATGAAACATAAAGTAACTTGTTGCAGAATTTGTTCTGAAATGATACATCAAAAAAAGGTAATTTGATTATATAAGTAGGATTGCATAGTAGTAGATTTATATGAAATTGAAGATGTTCCCCAATTTTTGAAAGAAGCTTATTAGCTAAATGAAGATAATAATAATCAAGATTAGAATTTAATGACAAAAGATATGGGTTTTATGTAGGATTGTGAATAAAGTAAAGATTTCTAATAAAATTAGATGATGGAGACAATTAATTTAATGATGAAGATCTAGAAGATGAGTTTGAAGAAAATAGTATTTAAAGCATCTGAAAAATTCAAAATAATAAAATATATATATAATTTAATTAATTTATATATCAGATAACAAATTTGTTTGATTGCTTTATTTATTGTATTTTATAAAACTGAATAATCGTAGAATTTGTTTTTTTTATTTACTGCTAAAAACAGATTGATAATCAAGATCATTATCAACTTAATAGAGATTGATTAATGTAATATGGTTGAAAAACCTTACAATGAAAAAGTAAAGTAAATAGATTAGAGTTAAAAAATTGAAATTTATGATTAGAAAGAAATGAAATTATTAAAGGTTTGGCTTAAAGACAGGAAAGAAGCTGAATAAATCAGAAATAAGGGAAAGGTTGAAAAGTTCTACTATGGATTCATATAATCTCACCTTTTAATTTAAGAGTACAAAAGAGTATTAAAATTTAACTAATTTACTAATGATTTGAACAAATCAACTAAAAAAAAGCTGGAAGGCATAGCTTTATTAAAATTTTTACCTGAAACTCCTTAAATTGAACCTAAAAGTTACCAGCCTCATCTAGATTTATACAAGTTTTGATTAATTTTATGTGAAACTAGTGGGCTTACAAGGCTAATAAATTTTAATTATTAATTAATTTAATAATCCGATCGAATGAGTATTCGAGAGTACAAATTGTACGGAATATTTTATATAATATAAATGCACCTTTTATATTAAGAATCATCAAATCGAAATTTAGAATATCTAATTTTATATTATGCAGATTCATTCTGAGTACACATTTAACTTTGATTGGGAGACTGTAGTTAAAGGATTTTGGAGGAAATATCCTTGCAAGGAATTTGATTTCATTCAATTCAATTAAGTCGTAGATATGATGCTTAATGATAATAATACTATGTCTATTAAGAGAATTGTATAATGTTTTTAATGTATATTTAGGTTTATGCTAGTAAATTTATGGTTTTGTGTTTGACTTTAGAAGAAATAACATTTGATATATAAAATAGGAGTATGTAAATGCAAACGAAGTTACTGAAAGCTTGCAAATATTATCCAAATCTTTCAGGAGATGAATCAATTATTTACAAAGCAATAGATGATTAAAAAACACATTACTCTGTATATAAGCTAAATATTAATAGAAACTATTGTCGAATTTTCACTAAACTTTTGTTACTAAATTGTTGTCTCAATTCAATAGTTCTTTTAAAAAAGGTATTGAAGTAGTCGAAGCTAGATGTAGAGAGCTTTAAAACAATTAATGACGATAAATAAATATTTTAACTATTAATCAATTATTTATTATATAATTTTATGATGATCAAGAAAAAACCTTAAATCCCTTAAATTAAGGACTCCGAAATAATTGATCGAAATCAATCCAAAAAATAAATAAGAACTATTCCATATTAACATAGTCAATCAATTTAGGAAGAGGAAGAACATTCTTCTTTATCATAAGTAAATATTTATGGACACTCCAAACCTACTTTTCTAATGACCTTTCCTTAATAACCAAGAGATTTTTAAGCCAGTGAAGACTTAAGAGCTCCTACGATTATAACTAATATGATTTCCAATAAGAGTCAAGAATAACTTGCAATAAAACCAGATTTTAGAAAATAACATTAACTTAATAATTTAGATGAAAGTTCTTAATTTTCTTCACAATTTAATTCAGTATTTTTTAATCTTAACTTATTTTAGATGCGCTCAATTTTAGAAAATAAAAAATCTATGTAAATCAATTAGGATAGGGTAAAATTATTGGTTAATTACATGAAAGTTAAATTTTTGAATTTAATACATTATTCTAAATATAATGATCCTATCCTTACTCAAGAATTCAAAGAACGTAAAAATGATTTTTTATAATCTATTTTAGTTTCACCACTTAAGTACCACTATTTTACTATGTATATATTTCTATCCACTGTTTTATCAAATACACTTTCATGTATATTTATCCCAATTAGTTAATTTTTTGATGTTTCATCAATTACTTAAATCATTTCATAAATGACGTTTGGATTTGCATTACTAACAACTTGTTAAGATCTATTTTTTTAAAGAGGTCCTTATAAAATGTAAAGGGGAGTTATAAAAGTTAATTATTAGGATAAATCAAAAAAAGTTATTGATTCATTAAGACTAAGTCTTTTAACTATAAATTCTCTTTTTGAAATAGATGAAAGAGTTAAATTAGTAACAGTTTTATTTATGATGTTATTCTAATTTATTAGATAAATAGAAAACTTTGAAAATATCTATAAATCCACTCATCATTTAATTTTTGTTTTTTAACTGTGGATTTCTATAATAATTTCATTTGCTTGCATTTATTAAGGTATATTCATAAAATAATAAGAGTTTCCCATTGCGAAGAAGATCCTAGTCTCTATTTTTGTATTACTTTTGTTATTTCCCTATTGACTCATTGTTCTAATGTTTGTAAAATAATAAATATAAGCATTATAGCAATTGAAATTACTTATGAGAATTCATTATTGATTTCCTTTTATATGATTGTCTCATATCTTTGTTTAGCATATACAACTATGATGATATATATTTGGATGAAACCAGAATTAGAAATAGAAGAGGAGAAATAAAAGTTATTAAAAGGATTTGTTGAAAGATTTAGAGAGAAATGTGAAAATGATGGACTTTTAAGAAGATGTTACTCTTATTTGGAATTTAGAATTGATGTAAATAAAATTGGAGTATATTTTAGGAAGACTTAAACAAAGCTAAAGATTAATTGACTAAAAAGTTGAGTCCTGAATTAGAAGATGAGATTGATTTATCTTTAAGATCAACAATGATTGATAAGATTGAATTGATGAATAGGTTTTCTCCTTAATTCAAATAATAATTACTTTATGAAATTGAATAAGTGACATTTAATCCAGAAGACAATATAATAATTGTACTTATCATCAGTATTTTAAGGAACATCAAATTGAAGATTTAGGATTATTTTATATATTAAAAGGATAAGTAAAGGTGTAATTTTAAGGTTCATCCTTTGGTACTAATAAAAGAGCAGTAACAACTTTATGTGAAGGATAAACTTTTGGATAATATTCATTTATTACAGGCATTCCTTCAAATATAAGTATATTCAGTTCTGGTGTTACAACATTAATGAAAATTAAGAGATCTGATTTTACTTTAATTATATCGAATTATCCTAGAGACAATGAAATATTTTGTACAATGAAAGATAATGCATTTTATAATTCAAAGTTATTTGAATGTTATTACTGTAAAATCAGAGGACATTACATAGTAGAATGTAGACATTTATAATATTTTCCTTAAAGAATAAATGCAATTGAAAAACATTTATATACAGAAAAATAACAAAGAAAAAAATTTTCAAGAAAATTAAAAAAATATTTTGCTTGGCAAGATATGAATTTGAATTAAGATAAAGCTAGATAATATGCTAATAAATAAAGTTAAGAATAAGTCTCTGATGATTTACCAGAACCTTCTCAATTGCCTTATTCTGAAAGTAAGTTTTTTAAATAAATTAGATTAAACACATTAATCAGTTAGTTTTGTAAGTAATTCTTTAGCATAGAAAAATTATAGCCCTGATTAATATCAATCAGCTAGTAATGTAAATGTTGAAAGTTTAGATTAATTCAATATTGAATAAGAATATTAAGATGAATAAACTATACCATTATAAGAACCATAAATTAAAAGCATTAGAAAGAACTCTAATAAAACTACTTTGAAAACAGCAGGATTTCCAATCAACTTTGACCCTAATAATCTAACAAATTTTGGGAATAATTTATCACAAATAGAAAAAGGTGAAAGAGATATTTTGAGTTAATTGTAAGAGGCTTAAATGACTAAAGATAAAACTATACTTTATCCAGCAAGTCGTAACAATACTTAAAATAAGTTAACATTTTAATATTATTAAGATGCATCTTAAGGAATTTTATTAAAAGAAGATCAAATTAAGACTGACTCTTATTAATTATAATAATAATAATTATAATAATAGTAACAATAACTATCTCATAATACTCTTAAACAGTCAATAAGATAACCTTCAAATAGATCATATACATATTCTAATTCATTATCAAAAGATATATCTAATAATCCTTCATCTAATTCTAGATAAAATAAATCTTAAAAATTATCAATTTTATCTAGTTAAAATAGATATATTGAGTAAACAGGTATTAAAAAAATGAATAGTTCTAAATCACTAAGTGAATAAAATAGAATAAACAATAATAAAAGTTAAAAATCATGTACTAAACAGAGTACTCCAAATTAAATGTCCTAGTTTTAAGCCTTAACAACTCCAGAGGTAGTATTAATTTTTAAAATAGAATCAAGGGTACTTTATAAATGATGAGTTATTCAATAAATTCGAAAAAATGCAGGAATATTAAATTTACTATCCTCACAATAATTATAATTAAGTTATTAATCGCTACGTCAAATTTTTAAATTCAACCAGAAAAAACAATTTTAAAAGGAAAAAGTTAAATAATAGTACTCCTTATTCGATAAAATGCTTTGTTGCATCTAAAATTAAAAGAGTAAAAAAGCTATTATAAAACTGACTAATTATTTAATATAAATAATTATTAATTCAATTTGAGGAGGTTAGTTCTGACAAATGTTTTAGACTCTAATGATTTTTTTTGTATATTTCTCTAAGATACTAACAATAACCATTGCAGCTACTATTTTCATTACAAATAGTTTAAGTTTATGTTTAGAATGATTATGTAAATGGTTTATCGTAACATTCATTTTTTATTTGACTTCTAGAAAACTTGAATCGATCATCCCTATTCGTAAAACAATTAAATTGGTTTTCTCCATAATACTTATAAACTACTTTATCTTTAGTTGGAATATTTTTTATGAAGAATGTCTTAAGATATTTTGCTTTCAAATCTTCTACCTATCTTTTCTTTTTTGCATCTATAGCAGTTCTAAAATTAAATTGAGTTTAAAAGCTATCTAAAAGTTCTCTAACAGCAGCATCTTAAGCAGGAGATTGTTATGGTAAATTATTATTTATAATATGATCTTTTACTGCTTATTTAGACTTTGCTAAAATATTTATTTAAATGTATTTATTTTTTCTAGTAGAATTCATTAATGTTAGTGGATCTTTTGGAATCTTTTCAAAGAAAGTGGGTGGTTATCTTTTTAATTTGTCAAATTTTTATTTTTTCTCATCTGATTTATTTTCTTATAACTGTAATCCCTCTGCTGTTGACAAATCTGTTCTTATACCATTTTCATTACTTTATGTTTAGACTCTTTAATTGAATAATCTAATATTCGCATCTTTTTTACTTCAATTTCGTTCTTTCCTATAATACATCATTATTTTGTGATTAGATCATCAATTCTCTTTAAGAGCTTTATCTTTATAAGCCTTTTGAAATATTTCCAAATTCCACTTTTTTCATTAGTGCTGGACACCTTTAAGTGAACATGATAATAATTAAAAATTGGAAGATTATAAATATTAAGTCAATTTCATCATACTGATGGCAAATATATTAAAAAATCTTTAATAATCAATAATCTTTCAATTGATTTTATTATAAGGCTAATATAGATTAATTTTTCATTGCTTTATCTTCATTTTTAATTCATGCAACTATTATTTTAAATCATAATTCTCTTTTAAAGCATCCTTAAATGTCTAAATAATTAAATATTTAATATAATTACTTAAGGAGGCATTAATGTATAGTTTTCTCCAAATAATTCTTTTCTTTTATTTTATATTTGTTAATATAAATTCACCTTCTCATTTAATGGAATAATGTATTACTATAAATCTTCAAGATGAGGAATTGCTTATTTTTTAACATGATATTGACTAAGTTCATTATTGGTTTTCCTCTCCAATTCAATTTTTTTTTCAACATCTTGAGATTCTTAATCTAATAGCAATTCAAAATTTTTAGTTAATTCTTTGATATTTTATAAATTTTCTCTTTTGACTTCAACTTATTCTCTTAATTATTAAGATTGAAACTTCATTAATTCAAGTCTATAATTTGTATTATAAATAAATACTATTGTTTGATTAACGTAATGTCTTAGAATGATTGAATTCCTTAATATTTGATCTCACAGAGATCATCTAATTCTTTAGTTCGAATATCTTCATAACCCCATTTATCAAAATAACTCATAAGTCTTTTATTTGAAATTTAGAATATTAATTTAACAATTAAATAACTATATTTTTAAAGAATACATAAAGAAATAATCTTAAATGAAATAGGGAAATGATAAAACTAAGAATTAAGTAGTTTAATTATAAGGAATGTTATTATTATAATAAAGTAATTGTATTTTAAATAATTAATACAATTATCAATAGATATATATATTTTCATAAAATTATTTAAAATAATGGAAAAAGTTGCAGTTGTTCAATTGTTTTTAAAGGAACTACAATTATTTTTGGCCCTTTTATTAGGTGAGAGATAAGATTATGTTAGGTTTGCAATAATCTTAGGGAATTGATTCAATAATTCCAATAATTTTGAATTTAATATGTGGGATAGTATTTGTTGTGATTAAATATAAAGATTAAAGTAAAGTAAAAATAGTGTGGAAAATGAAATTATTAATAATTTTGATATAAGTATCTTGGAATGTTGAAACAAGTCAATATTGTTTAATAATAGTAAATTTGTTGGATGATGAATTGTTAAAAGGTTTCTTTTTAGGAACAGCATTATTGATAAACATAATGCAAGACTAAGAAAGAAATTATATAACAACAGTACCTAATAACATTTTACTATTTTTCAATATAATAATTTGGTTGGTGTTAATTTTAATGAGTTAGATATAAAGAAGAGATAAAGAAGGTTATGTTGAATAGGATGCAAAACAACAATGCTAATAAAGTATATAGATAGTATATATAAAAATTGTAGTGAAAGAATCAATAAATAATAGAGATTAAGGTAGTCGAATGAATTAACAATAATCATTGATACAAGAATTGAATCCTTTAAAAATGGAGTGTAATGAAGATGAAAAGATATTATCACATGAAGCATGGATATTAAATCAATCAGTGTTGGTTTACAATAATAAGCAAAATATTGTTTATTAGAATATATTTTTAGGAAAGTTGTTAAAGCAATCAACTTTAGATGAATAATAAACTTAGTAATAATCAAAGCCTGATTATGAAGAACAATTTTTGAATAGTTAGATTGTAATGGGAAGTAAAGAATTGATAGAAATAAATGAAAATAACGATTAATCAGTGAATAGCGAGTATATTAATAAATATAATTTTTAAGTGGTTCTTTTTTGTTAAATAGAGTTAATGATTATCAAAAGTTTAGACTAAAGAGAAAACTAACAATACGAGAATTGAATTTGATGATGCAAAAAGAGTTTCATAAGTAGTTTACTTGGCATTAAAGAGATGGCGAACATGTATGGTGACTTTGTTTGAATTAAGAAGCGAAGTCCTAGATTTTGACAATATCCAAGTCAAAGCATTTGTCAAGAAAATAAATGAGTCCTCCTATGTCTTTTTCCTCTTTGAATAGAAACCAGTATAAAAAAAGACTGTAGATAGTAATCTTCCAATTATTAATGTGTTTACCACTTTTGTGCATGAATCAGTAAGTTTTATCAATTGTATTTTAACTCTTATCTTATTAATTTAAAATGAACAAGAAAATAATCTAAAAGTATCACTCAAATAGAATTATTATACACCTATCAAATTAATTAGTTTAAGATTCTATTTATTTGTTAATAATATGAGAGACTATATATTCTATATGTAAAATTAGTTATTCTTAAAAATATCAACATTTAGAGTGAGTGATCTAATTGAAGAAATTTTAAATATCTATGAAGATAATTTAAAAATTAGAGATGTAAATTTAATTACTTCTGTTGATTTGAGTGATAACAATTAAGTTTTATTTTGCGATGTTGATAGAGTATTTTTATATATTTTATTAGTTAAAATAAATTTTAGCTTGTTTGTTGACTTATTGTTTAAAATACACTACAGCATCAACTTTAAAATTAGATATCAAAAGTTATACTGTCAGTGGAATTATGATTTCTTTTAAAGATAGTATGATAGCCAAAGATGAAAATTTAAGAAAATCTATATCTAATTTAATAAAGACATTAAATTCATCTCTAAAAACATCTTCTTTTTATTAAGTTGATCTGAATAACTTATTAGAACTTTAAATTTGTATTATTTTATGTTGGTAATTGAGTGGTTCTTTCAAAAGAGGAATTGAATTTTTATATGATAGTTAAGGATATGGAACATTTACATTTGTTGTAGAATCTTAAGGTAGTTAATAAAGAATGTAGAGTAGATAAGATACAGGTCCTATTAAAATTATAGGCCAAAGAAAATATTATGAAACATCATTATCATTATTATTGGCCTAAGATAGTAGTGGATATAGAGAAGAATCAAAGTATAAATTATGTATTATTAGATATTACACATTAAGTTAATTATCAAAATAATTTTCAATGAAACCTGGTGATGCATTTGATCTTCAAAGTGCTTACTTCTCTTAAATTTCAAGAATTAAATAAGATTCTTCAAATTCAAAATAGATTTAAAACTCTGGGTCAGTACCAAAACAATCTAAAGAATAGAGTAATAGTTATTCAGGTACTTGGAAATAAGGTTTTCCTGATAGTGTTTAATAAACATATAAAAAAACTAGAAATGAAAGAAGTGAATCATAACAAGATTCTGCTAGAACTCATTCTGTCTATGATCTAGGATTAGAATAAAGTATACCATCTATTCATCCTCCTGAATTCACTCCTAAATTACTTCCCTCAGTCATTAAATATAGATTAAGATTAACATGTTGCTCCAAAGTTCTAATTGTAGATAATGATCATTATAGTGTACTATCATTGTAGAAAGTCTTAGAAAAATATAATATTAAATGTGATAAGGCTTTCAATGGAATTGAGGCTTAATAAATGATTTACAATAAACAGATTAAACCTTGTAGATGTGGAAATAAATCATACCTATTGTTCTTCATAGAATTTTATTTGCCTGTAAATATTTATATATATATATATTTTAGCTATTTTCAGGAATAGAACTTGTTAAGTACTTGAAGGATTAGATGAAAATTGGATTGATTGATAAAGGCTTTGCTATTGTTATTTCTACTTTTGTCGATTTGAATTTGAAACTAGAATCCTTTAAGAATGGAGCAGATTATTTTATTGCTAAACCTTTTGATTTATTAGATATAGGAGCTGCAGTTTAATATTTAGATTTTTGATAGTTAATATATTTTCATATATCTTTAGATAAACAATTTGATCTTTTTCTGATCTCTACAGTTTTATCAAGTAATAGTTCTAATTCTATATTCTATGAGTTTTTTTTTTTAGATTTTTTCATTAAATCTATTTCCGAAGCCTGAAAAATCTATTTATTTGGAGACAAAGACACAAAATTTGTATTAAACCAAATTTATAAAATTTTTGATTCTGATACAATTGATTTTTAGAATATTTATAACAAAACATCTCCTTATAGATAGATACCATCAAAAGCAAAGATGATTTCTTTTTCTGATATGATTTGTGCTTTTTCAATTAATTATTTACTATTGTTTTACAATCGAATCAATGTTCCATAAGCTAAACCAATCAATCTAACTGAATATAACTCAACTTAAAGAAATGGTTTCTTGATTAAATCATTTTTGAGAGCAAAACTAAAATAATGTACATATCTAATCTAGCTTGGAATAGTAACTCCTTTTTAATTCAAAGTACGAACTAGACCATAATAAACTAAAGCATCCTAGCTTGAATAATACTTACCACTATATAACAAATAACAACAAATCATCACTCCTGTTCTTCCTTTACCTGCCTTACAATGAACTGCAATAACATGATTAGGATCAGATTATAACCAATCATGAACAGTTGTACAAAATTCTACTATCAAATTAAAAGGAGGTGCTTAATGATCATCAAATGGAAATTCAGCCACTTTAAAGAAAGATTCATGCTTATACTTTCTTTCTGAACATCTAGGTAGCAATCTAAATTTACAAATTTATGACCATATAATTATTTGTATGTCTTGAATTTAAGAATCTTTACACTTCTGACATGGGATTCCTGTATATAGCTTCGAAATTCTCTGCAGGAAAACCCATCGCAATCATATTACCCGTGATATCTCGATAAGTATTATTTACTTACAAGTTAAATCCAAATTATAACCGTCCAATTTAAATCTTTTCTTTTATTTAGATACCAGTTCCTTTATAATTTCTCTCTAAAATGCACACTTTACATTCTTCATCATCTTTTATGTGATTTCATTAGCATGATTTTATAACACTGCTATGTCATTTATTCTTTAATCAATATGTCTATTAAAACACATTTCTATTGCCATTTCACTTATCGACTAATCATCATCACATTATTTAATTGATTATTGTTCTATCTCTTCAACTTTCTAATTGTTTAATGGACTTTCTAAATATTCATCTTCATCACTCGATATTCGATTCAGCGACGTTGTGTCTTCTATGTTTTACATTGAGATCATTAATTAAAAATTATTTCTTTTCTATTATTAAATAACTTTTATAACTATTTTTTCTCAATTCAATCAATTCAAGTTCTTTCCCCCTTTCAATTTATTCAATTTCTAATATTCCCAAGTTTCATCCTGTTATTTTTACTTTTGTGGTAAAATGAATTTATATTTAAATGTCTTATATTTCATTTTTTCTATTTACTTCAATATGAAAAATGTCAATCCAATTCTTAAATCAAATCTATAAACATTTTCATGAATCTTATCAGAATTTATTAGAAAATGAATTTTTGTCAGATTTTAAGCAAAATTCTAGAATTTTAATTACTTAATTAAATAAATTATACTGAAAATATAATCTTTAAAATATACAGAAAATAAAGTTCCTTTAAAAAATGATTTAAGTAATCCTTTTACTTACAATTTATAAGAAATTTCCGTTATGGAATGAGATGAACAAATAACTAATTTAATAATACATTTATTTAATGCTTACCAATTGTGAAGTTGTTTTATTTATAAAAAAAAACAAGATTCAAACGTATAGCTTTTATATTATAATAACAATCTGCTTTCCTAATTAAAAGCAGTTAATTGTGTGAAATTAGACTGGGTTATAGAATGAACATATTCTCTACTTGACTAATGCACAGCATAAATTGTTAAAGTACTTTTGGCTAATTTACATCTATGGAATTATCCAATTATACTTATGAGATGAAAGCAAAACTAATAGATGAATATTAAAAATGAAACAAAACTTTATCAATTTTTATGATCTTGTAAATACATAGTTTGTAATAATTATAAATGATGCCTAAATTTACTATTTTAAAATTTATAATATGAAATGCTTCTTATTCCAATTTCAATTATTGATAAAATCTAATTTTTATTAACTGAATCATAAAATTAGAAAAACTTGTGGAAATGAAAAAATTGAGCTTTAAACCAAGTTGCTAAGAAATTTTATGAGTAAATTTTTAAGAAAAAATGATTTTATTATAAATTCTATAATATGTATGATTTCTAAGCATATTTTGTTAATTAATTTTTTAACTATCTGTTAATGGAGATACAATAATGCTTATCTTTGAGCTCATTCCTCTTTTTACCAAATTTAGATATGAGTATATAAGCAATTCTAACACCTTAACCATTAAAAAGCTCTTAATAATAATAGCTGGAAAACAAGCAAAATGAGAAAGAAAATAAAACAATTAATATTAAGGTCAAACTTACAGATTTATTACCAAATGATCAAAATATTACTTTATAAGAAATTTAGCATGATATTTAGTAGATTAAAAATAAATATATCTAATTGATTGGAAATTGATAATTGAATAAAAAATTATGATGTTAACTTCTTATAATTATAAATTCTTATCATAAAATTTAATTCTTAAACTACATATAAATCATTAAACTTAGTTTTGACCATTTAAATTTTTAGTATTAAAAATAATTTCAATATTCTTTATAATTTTTTTATTACATCCAATTTATTAAAGTACATCTATATATTTGCTTTCTTAAAACTAAAATTAACAATTTTTCATATCTAAAATAATTAAAAATTTGTACAATTTTCTTAAGAAAGACAATTATTATTGGAAGTTGACTTTTACAGATTGATTGCATAGTCAATCCATATTTATGAATTTTAAATGACTTAATGGTTCATTAAACCTTCTATAAAATTTAACCTATAACATACCAAATACACTTAGGTTAATTTCTTTATTTTCAGTTGGTAAATATACTCTCTTAAATATTTTTTTTGCCAATAAACAAGCTTCTAAAATAGCTGTTGGATAATCTTAATATTTATCACAATGGTCAAGTAAAGTAATTAGTAATTTTTGAACTGAAAGATAATTTTCATGTGAGACTTGGTAATGTTGAAGATCTTATTTTTAATTTTTTTCTGAAATCAACTTTTAAAGAACCTATTCTAAACATTAAGTATAACTATAAGGTAAAGCTACTTCCAACAATTCACTCAATCTCTGAATTAAATCATCAGTGATATTATTATATAAAAGAACATTTTGGAACATTTTCAAATAACATAGACTCTCTTCTGAAAATAATTCATTATTTTCTTAATCTTTAGATTTAACTTAATCAAAAATTGGTTTTTTGACTTTACTTAATAATTGGGTATCTGGTTTAAAATTTAACTACAAATAAATATTTCTCTTATAGGTTTCAAAATCAATTTTCTCTAAGTTGATATTTTTGTTAAACAATTATTCCAAAACATTATTAGATTTATATTATTCTAATTTTTAACTTATCCCTGTCAAATCATATTATAAATTTCTGATTACTGATATTTCAAACATTATAAACTTTAAATGAGTATCTTACAGTAAGTTTTTTCTCTCTAACTCTTAAATTTTAAGTTGCTCCTAAAAATTCAGAATTTCATTACTACAAGCATCTACAAATTAATTATATATTGTAATAAAATTTTGAAAACTTAATTCACTAACAGCATAACTAGATTATTTTTTATGGAATCGATTAATCTAATATTGTTTTTCCTCTTCTATAGATGTTTTGTATTGTTTTATTAAAAAATTCAAAGTATAGGAATTTTGTTGATACTCTTTCTTATTTGCTAAACTAAATTAATGCAATTTTTTTTTTAAATTATCTTACTTTATAAAAAATTCTTGTTATTCTTATATTAATGTATTTTTTAACTACATAGCAAAGCAATTAGCTTATTCTGATTTTATAAATAGATAACTTCTTAAAATAATGAATAAGTCCATAGTTCCATCTTTTTCATTAATTAGACTTGAAATTTATTATCCTATATTATTGAAGTTTTACTACCAATTTTTTCAAGACTTTTGGAATATGATTCTTCTAATTGAAAAATAACTTTCAATACGCTAATGAAATTTTAAGTAGAATTCATTGTTTCTTGAGTAATTTTTAAGTATGTTTCTAAACTTTCAGATATCACAGATTAACAATTCATTTTTTGATAATATTTAAAATATAAAAAACTCAATTTTTTCATAATAATCTAATAACTATTAGATAATTATAAATATTTTATATTGATAAAAATAAAATGTTTAGATGTTTTTAATATATTCTAATTATATTTTATTAGTATATAGCTTATAAACAAGGCATACTACACGAAAGAACAAAGAGGCTAACTTTTTAAGATAATAATTATATTATTAATTATTTAAATGTAAATTAATAAATAAATATACTCTTCACACTTGATGTATCTGGATCTATGAAATCTCTTTGATTTAAGGTATGTAATAAGATAAAAAATTTTCTTGGTAATTTTGGATCAAATGATATAATCTTAGGGTTTAATTCCAATAATTAAGCCCAATTATAAAAATCTATTTAATAAAAACAACTTAAAGCTTTATATTTAAAATTAGTCTATATTACAAATAACAAACTCTAATTCTATATCAGTTGCTTAAACATAAGATAGTTTTTGCTGTCACATTTTTTGAATTTAATAACTTTTTTTTGTTACGATTTAAGCAATATTTAGACATTGTAAAATAATAAAAATTAAACAACTAATTAGTGTCACTATATTTTAACAGTTTATAAAGATAATATTGATAATTTAAGAGAATGTAAAGTAAATCGATAGAATCATTCTAAACATGAGTATAAATTTACACTAGAATCTCATATATTATATTATTTAGTTGAGTTAAAGTTAGAGATGATCATGTTTTTCAAATATGATTAAAACAAGTGATGAATTGATTTGGACAATTACTAAATTAAAAACACATTTTCAAAAAAAAGAGCATGAAATTGAATACTTTTCGTTTGATAGGATATTTTAAAATATTAATTCATAATGATTCACAATAGAATTTTTTCACTTTTGAAATTTATACACAGACATAAAACTAATAGTTTAAAAAAAGGACGTTCTTGGAACCATGTTCTTTTTCAAACTATTAACTGAATAGGTTATTATGATAAAATTAGATCCTAAATCGATTAAAATAATAATAAAGACTTAAAGTATGAAGCATGGAAAATTAAGGAAAATATTTAAAATTATGATAAAGAAATGATTTTAGTTTATTTTGACAACTTAAAGTTTCAAATGGTACTAAGAAAATAAAGATACAAAAATATGATATTTAATCTAATTACAGATATCTATTGGTACCAAAAAGCATTTAACAGATTTTATTACATCTAATAGTAGATATGATACATTCTTGATATTCATTGAATTTCCTTAAAACAATATCAGCACAAATAAAGATTTACTTTTAAAATGAATAATAGTGAAATGTTGATTAACAAGAGGACATTCTTAATAAGGTAATGAATGTGAAAATTTATTTAATTTAATTATTTTATAGAATATCATTTTAAATGTAAATAGAACCCACATACCCATAAATAGATATTAAAGAATTTAAAGCTTTTGCAGTTTGGAGATGGAAGGCTGAAGAGGTAATGAAAACAATTTAAAATTAAAGTTGAATTAAAATTGCTGTTCATGCAGAAAATTAATGACAGAGCCATGTATTGATTGTGAAGTGATAAATGATTAGATGGAAAATCAATCTAAATGTATAGCTGTTTAGAGTGGAAATTGTGGTCATGCATTACATAGGCATTGTATTCGTAAATGGATTCAAACCAAAAGCTAAGGAGGTACTTAAGGTACTTGTCCAATGTGTGATTTAACTTGGGAAATCACAAATGAAGTTGAGTTATAGAATTGATATCGTTAATGCTATATTCATTATAGAATTTTGATTTAAATCATAAGTTTATATTATGAGTATTGAGATTGAAAATAAAGTTCTCAAATGGATGACAGGAATTCCACTTGAAGTATTGGTGAATGAAGAAACTATCGAGATGTCTTGTTAGCCTTCATTGGTGTCTTTTTTTGTGAGAAGGAGAAGGAAGAATGTTAACCTATTTTTATATTTTTATTTTTTAATAAAATTTATTTAACAATACTGAATTTGTAAATTGATAAGAAGTTTGTGATTTTGAAATTTAAATAAGTTTGCATAATAATTTAAATTAGAAGAAGAGAATAGATATTTATTTACACATATAAAAAAGATAATATATATTAATTAACAATATTAATTAAAATAAAATTCAAATTTTGATGAACAGAAATAAATAACAACCTTAGAGATAAACTGCACCATAAAGAAAAGCTCGTTCTGAACTTAATGAAGAATAGAAATAAGAGATTAAGGAGGCATTTGATTTATTTGATACAGATGGAACAGGATATATTGATGTTAAAGGTAAAAAATAATATATATTTTATTAGAACTGAAGGTGGCTATGAGAGCATTAGGTTTTGAGACAAAAAAAGAAGAAGTGAAATAAATGATTAAGGAAGTTGATCGTGAAGGAAAGGGAGTAATTGAATTTCCTGATTTTCTTGAATTAATGACTGTGAAAATGGTAAAATAGTTAATAACTATTGACAGGGTGAAAGAGATCCAAGAGAAGAGATGTTAAAAGCATTTCGTTTATTTGATGATGACAATACAGGAAAAATTACATTGAGAAATTTAAAACGAGTTGCAAGAGAACTAGGAGAAACAATGACAGATGATGAATTATAAGAGATGATTGATGAAGCTGATCGAGACGGTGATGGAGAAATAAGTGAAGAAGACTTCATTAGAATAATGAAGAAGACCAATCTATTTTGAAAATTAGTTAATATAATTATATAATAAAACATGGCATTTGTATATTAAGCATAAAGAGACTTAAACTAATTATTGACATCTCTTCCATCTAATGTATTTATTATTAATCTTACTACATAGGTTGGTCCTGGTTCTTATGGATAATCTAAGAAAAAGACAATCAAATAAGCAAATGCTCCTTTCAATACACAATCATCTAGACTTAATCCAATTAAAAATTCCTCTTTCCCTGGTCCTGGAAGTTATAGTGTAAATTTTGCAACTGCAGGGTACATAAATCTTTAAATGCTAGATAGAAAGTTTTGCTCTAATCAAATTAGTCAGAACTTAAGATTCTTGAAATACATAAATAACAGTCTGTTTTTGCATCCAAATGTAAGCGCTTTTAAGAAGTTAATACAAGTGATACTCCTGGGTAGACTGTTTTTTTTGATATCTTAGTCCTGGATCATACAAATAAGAAACAAATTAACGACAACATTATTAGAAGGGATAATCTGAATATTTCATAGAATCATTATTGAAAATGAATAGAAATAAATCAATTCCTTCTATTCCAAGTAATGAATAAGTTTATGGTTATGTAGATGGTGGAAGTAAATATTAATATTTTTTATTTAGCTCTTTAATTAAATAAAAGTCCTTAGGTTGTTATTTCAGGTTTAAAAAATGATTCAGTTGGACCTGGTCATTATGAATTAAAGAGCTCTTTTGATTTAAATAAAGAAAAAGGAATTAATTGGCATTCTTCTAAATAACCTAAATTAGCTCCTGTTGTTAATAAAGATTAAAAATTGATAGTTGGTCCAGGAGCATATGATCTTTAAAATGAGAGTTAACCTTTATATAAATTGATGCCTTCAGGATCATTTCAATCCAATACATCAAGATTCAATAATTAAGATAAAGGATAAAGGAGTAAAGAAATTCTTAAACTTTAATTTGAAAAGAAGAAATCTTTATTACTTTAAGATTCTTAATTTTAAGATTTAATAGAAGAATAATTTGAATTGTCCTAAGTATAAAAATTACAAAAACTTAGAATGATGTACCTGGCCCTGGATATTATTTCAAAGATTAAAATACTGTGTCAACTCATGCTAAATCTAATTCTAAACTCGAAACTTAATGTTTTGGATCAAAATTAAAAAGATTTGAAAGTGATTCAAGCCAAATAACAATTGGGCCAGGAGATTATAAAATAGAAACCTCTTTATCAAATAGTAGTCTTGCTTAAAAGTATCCACCCTTTTTATCCTCTAATACTCGTTTTGAATAAAAACACTTGAACAGANNNTAATCTAAGAAAAAGACAATCAAATAAGCAAATGCTCCTTTCAATACACAATCATCTAGACTTAATCCAATTAAAAATTCCTCTTTCCCTGGTCCTGGAAGTTATAGTGTAAATTTTGCAACTGCAGGGTACATAAATCTTTAAATGCTAGATAGAAAGTTTTGCTCTAATCAAATTAGTCAGAACTTAAGATTCTTGAAATACATAAATAACAGTCTGTTTTTGCATCCAAATGTAAGCGCTTTTAAGAAGTTAATACAAGTGATACTCCTGGGTAGACTGTTTTTTTTGATATCTTAGTCCTGGATCATACAAATAAGAAACAAATTAACGACAACATTATTAGAAGGGATAATCTGAATATTTCATAGAATCATTATTGAAAATGAATAGAAATAAATCAATTCCTTCTATTCCAAGTAATGAATAAGTTTATGGTTATGTAGATGGTGGAAGTAAATATTAATATTTTTTATTTAGCTCTTTAATTAAATAAAAGTCCTTAGGTTGTTATTTCAGGTTTAAAAAATGATTCAGTTGGACCTGGTCATTATGAATTAAAGAGCTCTTTTGATTTAAATAAAGAAAAAGGAATTAATTGGCATTCTTCTAAATAACCTAAATTAGCTCCTGTTGTTAATAAAGATTAAAAATTGATAGTTGGTCCAGGAGCATATGATCTTTAAAATGAGAGTTAACCTTTATATAAATTGATGCCTTCAGGATCATTTCAATCCAATACATCAAGATTCAATAATTAAGATAAAGGATAAAGGAGTAAAGAAATTCTTAAACTTTAATTTGAAAAGAAGAAATCTTTATTACTTTAAGATTCTTAATTTTAAGATTTAATAGAAGAATAATTTGAATTGTCCTAAGTATAAAAATTACAAAAACTTAGAATGATGTACCTGGCCCTGGATATTATTTCAAAGATTAAAATACTGTGTCAACTCATGCTAAATCTAATTCTAAACTCGAAACTTAATGTTTTGGATCAAAATTAAAAAGATTTGAAAGTGATTCAAGCCAAATAACAATTGGGCCAGGAGATTATAAAATAGAAACCTCTTTATCAAATAGTAGTCTTGCTTAAAAGTATCCACCCTTTTTATCCTCTAATACTCGTTTTGAATAAAAACACTTGAACAGAAGGGTAGGTCCATAATCATACAATATAAATTAGAGTGTAAGAGAATTTGAAATATAGTCTAGTTAGAACATGATATGATTAAAAAACTTGAAAGATCTCCTGTAGGCAAATTTGGATAGAATTAGCCTAGATTTGAGGATGATCAAAGTAAAGAATAATTACCTGGTCCAGGATATTATTAATAATTAAATGAATCTCCTCAATAAGGAGGAGCTTAAACTGTCTTTAAATCTTAAACTAAAAGAATTGATCCAACCATATAAAGCAAATTAGAATTACCAGCACCTGATTAATACAATCCAAGAAATCATACTATTGAATTTAATGTAAAAAAAGATTAAGAAGATGATCCTGAATTTGAAATCAAAAGAGCTCCATTCTAAACATCAGCTCCTAGATTTTAAAATAAAATAGATATCAAAATTGATGAATTAGATGAAGAACTTTATGTCAAAAAATAAAATTAAAAAAGAGAAGAACATAAAATTCCATATAAATAAAAATAAGCACCTCCACCTTTTAATGTATAAGTAATGATAAATATTATTATTTTTAAAGGAAAAACGATTTCAATATGGTAAAATAACTGTTTAATCTCCTGGGCCAGGAGAATATAATCAATCTACAAAAATACCATGGGAAAAATCTTCATTTAATGTTTAATTCTCTTAAATTTGAGTAGATAATACATATATATATATATATATTAAATGATATCATTTTTTAAAAAATCTAAATTCGGATCTTGTATGTTTATGAAATTTTCTATTTTAAGGTAAACTATCAGTAATTTTAAATTGTTTGGAAAGAGAAACACTAGCTTATTAAGATCGATGAGTTTAAATACTAACTTTTTATTTAATTTCTAATGTATGATGATTTGTAGATGGCGAATTTAAAGTATAAATGTGAACAGGACTCAATATTTTAGATAAAGGATCTTTAACTTATCTGTGTGTTGATGGACCATTTTAAGAGACTAATTATTCATCTTTAAGTATTTTTGGAGATAGATGAAATGTTTATTGATTTTTAGATGTTCTTGATATAATTTATTTGATTGTCTACTGACTCACTCCAAAAGGGATTCGATTAAATGTTTTTGGTGAATGTAATTAAAAATGAGTTTAAATTTTTGGTTTCTGCTTATCAATCAAAAAATGAATAAAATTTTGTAATTATTCTTATTCTCTGTTGGATGCTTATAAAATTAATTCACCTGTGTTAATTTAAAGAGCATCCAATTTTTTATTGATTACATCAATTGTTGTTGAATTATCAATGATATCTTCAAGTATTTTACTATAAACTTATTCTTAAACTTTTGGTGAAGCAGGTTTATTTTCTTCTGGTAGATCACCAACAATTGCTTTTTTTGGTTTATTTGGATTTTTGCGGTTTTCCTCTTCAATTATACGTTTAATGCGATAATATTCAACTCTTCTTTTTTTATCATGATAACTACCTTATGTATAATCATGAAATACTTGCTCATAATATTGCTAATTTTATGCATAAAAAATCTTGGAATCTCATTATGATATTTGTAATACTCTGTAAATAACTGAAGTTTATCCTTCACCTCATCTAAAAATTTAGTTAAAATCAATACTGGCAAAATAGAACCGTCTAAAGTATTCTTAATTTTCATAAAAAGCTAGAGCCTAATAAAACTCTATCACCTCTTGAGTTCTGGCTTAATTTATAAAATCATTTAGAGTCCTTGAGTAATAATAGGATTGACAATTGGAGTATTTTTTTTAAAGAATTATTTGGACATTATACTTATTAGCCATTTGATATTTGTGTTTTGATATACAATTTTATATAATTTATTCATTACATAATATATAATAGATATCAAAATATAGCTAGTTCATTTTGAACCTAATTTTTACAACATCTCTCATTAATCAACTTTAATCTTTATCTTAATTTCTTAAGAAATCTCAATCCATTCATTTAATACAACTCAATTATTTTCAAATTTCTCTATTGAATAGGCTCATCTTTTATTTAATCTCTATGAACTATTAACCAAATTTTTTAAAAGTTTTTCAGTCTTAATTCGAGTTGAAAATCTTCTATTCTATTAAATAGATATAAATATTATGAATTTTCCTTTTATCTATTAGACTTTTCTTCTAAGTATGTAATTCAATTCTTGTTCTTTCTAATACACTTTGGTTTGTGAGTAAAAATGCTCACTTATTATTTTCTTCAATATTATTCAACATATGATAATTTTTTTAATCTATGTCTTCCTCCTTACTCATCAAAGTCTTTTTTTATTAAGTTTTCCGACAATCTACTTATGTGAATTAATCTAGTAATTATAGCCATATTTTTGAGAACTAAAATGATTATAATTCAAAATAACCTTTTAAACTTTCAATATATAGGTTGCTTTAGATTAAAAATTCATTTAAAACCTTAAAAATATAGTTTACTTCTTCTTGTTTCATTTATTATCAGAGATGAGCAAAACAATTTAATTTTTAGTTGATTTACATACCTGATTATTAGTTTTATTGTATTTTACATTTTCTTCATCACTCTTATTGATCTTGAGATGGTGTTTTAGATGTTAATTATAGAGTTGATGTTTTGATTAAAAGTTTAAGAGTATTTTTTTTTGAAAATGTTATCATTTAATGTTAAAATAAAATTAGACTGAGTAATTAATAATATTGTAATTACGCACTAAAAATGCATCCTACAACATAATTGCTATAAAATGCGAGAGATCGTGTAACATTTCCAAAAGAGGAATTAACAAAGCTGATATATGTTAATGATGAGATATATGAGACATTTATGAAAGCTTAGAAGATTATAGCATAGGAGCCAAGTATTCGTAATCATGCTGATTATCATAATTGGAGTAGGAAAGAATAGATCATAAAATCATATGAGAAATTAAGAATAATGCATTAACATTTCAATTTAGCTAATGTTGTACATTGGGCTCCTTTATTAAGCATATTTTAAGGAACAACACCAACAGCAGTATCATTTGCAATGACAGTACCAGCATTGAGATTTTTGGGGACAGATGAACAATTTAATTTATGGGGTCCTAAATTCTTAACAATGGAGATAGTGGCAGCATATGCATAAACAGAAATTGGCCATGGAAGTGATGTATAAAATCTAGAAACAACAGCTACATATGATTCATAAAGTAATGACTTTATATTACATACTCCATCTGTTTCAGCAGTTAAATGTAAATGAACAAAGATAATAATTTAGTTTGGCCTGGAGAATTAGGATTTTTATCAAATTATGCACTGGTTTATGCAAAATTGATATTTAATGGTAAAAATAAAGGAGTACATCCATTTATGGTTTAAATTAGAGACAATACTACTCATAAAACATTAAAAGGAGTAACTATAGGTGACATAGGACCAAAGTTGGGTTATTCAACTAAAGATAATGGATTTTTGGCATTTGATAATTATCGTATTCCATTGAATAGTATGTTGGCTAGATATGTAAGAATAGAAAATGGGTAATTTTCAAGACATGGAAATGAGAAGGTAATATATATAATTATAATAGATATCATATGCATCAATGATGGTTTCTAGATAATTGATTATATTTATTTATCCAAGAATGGCTGCCTAAAGTCTTACTGTAGCAATTAGATATTCAATAACAAGATAATAATTTACAAATGATAAAGGCATAGAGAATTCAGTAATTGAATATTAGACATAATAAGATAAATTATTACCAAGATTAGCAACTTGTTATGGTATGATATTTGCAGGAATCAGAATTATGTAATTAGTAGATGACAATTTCCATAGAGTCTAAAGGAAAGACTTTAGTACTCTATAATAATCACATGCAATCTTAAGGTATATGTGAATATTATTTAATAAAGTGCTATAAAAGCCTTATCTTCTTAATGGGTAGTGGATACAGCTGAATGGTGTAGATTATCATGTGGTGGACATGGATATGCACATTATTCTGGTATTCCTGCAGTCTACTTTGATACTGCACCTAATGTTACCTTAGAAGGAGAAAATTAAGTTATGTATTTATAAGTAGCCAGGTATTTACTTAAAGTTTTATCCTATGCTGATAAAACTCCAGATAAAGTTCCATTCTATTTCTCTTTTGTTTTACAAATCAAAGAAACACTAGCAAATAAAGATTTAAGTATAATCATATTATATTATTATTTATAGCTAATCTTACTACTTCATTAGGTCATTTATTAAAGTTAACACTCACTCTTCAATTAATATCAGTTGCTAAATAAATTAAAGATCTCATTAATTCTGGTAAGACATCCTAATAAGTTTGGAATTAACATGTTGGTATTCATTTATTATCTCTTGCATAAAGATATGCTGAATACTTCATTTATCTGGTCTTTTAAGAATATATTACAAATGCTAATTCATCTATCAAACATATCTTACAATAACTTTGTGATTTATACTCCATTCAAGTCATCTTAGATAATCCTAATACTCTCATAGAGTCTGGATCAATTACAACTGATTAATATAAATCTCTTAATGAATTAAAAATTGAAATGCTTAATAACATTAAACCTTAAGCTATAGGACTTGTTGAGGCTTTTGATTTTAATGACAATGCTCTTAGAACTTGCATTGGATGTCATGATGGAAAACCATATGAATATATTTATGATTGGGCAACCAAAGATAATTCAGTTAACAAGGTACCAAAGGCAGTTTAGGCAGTTATTGATTTAATGGGTACTAAAATTAAACCAAAATTATGAGATTCATAATATTATAATTTAATATTTCAACAATGTTTCCTTTATACTCCTAATCAAACACATGATTAAAATTATTCACTTAGCTATTTTTTTATTTTTTATAGCTAACATAAAGCAAATTAGTGATTTCATTTGAAAAAAATAACATATAACATAAAAAAAATCATTTTAAGGCAATGTAGTCTTGAATTCTTTTGTAAACTTCCTAAAACTTTGTAGAATCATAGAAATCTGAATTAAAGTAAATTCCATTTGTTTTTGCTTCCTTCTCCAACACCTATATTGGAACTCTTATATCACCATTATAATTCTTGATATTCTAGTAATAATCTTTCTAAAATTTATAATAAAGGTAACATACTTATTATCTATACAATTTATTTAACATATTTAATAGAAGATCAAAGGAATCTTCATTAAATGTTAAATAATCACTAAATTTACGTCTCAATTGTCTAGCCACAGAATATTTTTATGACTAAAGAAAACTCTCTAACATGACCTTTATTGCAACTGAAACATCAAAATCAATGACATTATTTCTCAAATGCATTCTAGCATGGGCTATTTAATATAGAATAATACAAATACCTTCAGCCATTCTTATGATACTTTCGAGATGTCTGATGGCAATATTGATACCACCACAAACTTCAGATTCTTTTCTTAATAAATAATAAAATTTAGATATCTTTTCATGATCTACATTTTATAATTTTGGTCTTATGTGAGTACGTGCATACAAAATATATTTCTTAAGTAATTCTAATGGAATAACTTCATCTTAAGTTTATTTACTCTCCTTAACAAAGTATCCTTTGATTTTTTAACTCTCATTAGAATCTGGATCATGATTTAATTCATATGCAGCCATTGGATGATGTCTGATATGACTGTTTATGACAAAAGAAGCCAATCTATCATCTGCCTCTTTAATTACTTCATCTTTTACAACACATAAAATGTCAAATCTACTTAAAATTGGATCTGTAAGATCAACATTATCATGAAAAGATTATTAAGAATCATATTTACCTCCAACTGGATTGGCAGCTGCAATAACACTACATCTGGCTTAGAGAGTAGTGACAATACCAGCTTTAGAGATTGAAATACTTTGTTATTCCATAGCTTCATGAATAGAAGTTCTATCATGTTCATTCATTTTATCAAATTCATCAATTAAACAAATTCCTTTATCAGCCAAGACTAAAGCTCCTCCTGAGATACTCCATTCATTAGTTGAATAATCTCTTTAAACAGAAGCAGTGAGACCAACAGCAGATGCTCCTTTTCCTGTTGTATAGATTGATCTATAGAATGTCTTTTAAACATTTTTTAAGAATTAAGATTTAGCAGTACCAGGATCTCCTAATACCAAAACATTAATATCTCCTCTTATTCTATGTTTACCTTGAATGTCTTTCGATTCTCCTCCAAACATAGCCAATGCAATAGCCATTTTAACATGTTAATGACCATAAATAGATGGAGCAACTGAATTATAGATAAGTTTATCAATTTTAGGGTTTTAAGATAATTTCAAGATTTCATCTTTGATTTTTTTATCAATATTCAAAGATTCACTATCATCTTTTCTTTTAATATAATTGCTTTCAATAATAGTAGAATATAAAGGGAAACCATGTTTAACATTAAGAGCATAATCATATCTTTAAGTATAGATTCCAGTAACTTCAATTTCATCTCCAGGTCTAGCTATATCAATTTAATCTCCTAAAACAATAACTTCTTTTTATCTGGGTACTCTTCCTGCAGGAACTTAACCTGGTGATTCTTATAGAGTTAATCGTTAAAAATTTCTATAGACCAATTGATTATATAATTTTTCAAAAGGACCACTACTTTAACATTGAATACAAACGCCTAATTATATGCTATCATTATTTTCTAAATAAAATGGTCCCTTTTTCATTCCACATTTAACACAAACATAAGTTATTTCTTTCAATTAAGAATAGACAGCACTTCTTCTAGTAACAACACCAATAACACGAATAAATTTATCTAAATGTTTAAATCTTAATTCTCTAATAATATCAATAACTGGAAGATTAGTAATTCTAACAAAAATTTCTTAATGAATATTATGATAATGACTGAATCTTTTATTGACTTCAATTCTTGCAGCTTCATTAAGATGAGGTAAAATAATTTTAGGTTCTTCTGCTACCCATAATGC